TTCCTTTGGCCGTGCAACTGCCTTGCCATGGCTCGTCATCGCCGTTGGGTCACCGCCACCGTGCCCAGCCATGCCCAAGCCACCGTAGCCGCACCTGAGGCAATAGTCGCGTCTGCCGAAGCGCGGGGAAGTTAGAGAAACCTGCTAGAGCTTCCCCAACGCACCGAGGGACCTCGCCATAGACCTCATGCAGCCACCGTCCGCTGTGGAGCCGTGTTGGATGCTGGAGACCCCAAGGCCTAGCCTTTAGCCTGCTGGTGAAATCGTCGTGAGCCCGCGTAGCCGTAAAGCCCTTTTGCAGCCCCGCTGGACCGCCGAAACGCGTAGCCATGTGAGCTCGCCATCGGTGAAGGGAGTGTCCAAGGAGGAAGAGGGAGCCACCACACCCCGCGCCACTCGGTGCACCCGATGCACCGTAAACCGAAGGAGGAGTGGACACGGTCCACCATGGACCGTGACTGCGGTCCATGGACCCGCGCCACCTGGACCACCATGAGCCACGCCCGTAGACGTGAGCCCGTTAGCAGCCCGCCAGCGCCACATGGATGGCCCAAGAGGATGACATGTGTCCAGGCCAACCCAACCCAACTCGGCCCAAAATTCGGCCCGTTAGGCCCAGTCTGAGCCCAGTCAACGTTGATCGTTGACCGGTCAACACTGACCGTTGACCGATCCCACATGTCAGCGACCAGCGCCATTTCGACCAACCAGAGCGCGCCATGTCTCAGCCCAGGGTTAACTATTTTCTTTTCTTTTTTAGAATATGATTTAAACTTAGAAAATTCGTAGGAAATTCATCCGACCTCAGAAAAATATGAAACCAGAGTCCAATTTTTTCTAAAAATAAGCTCTATGTCTTAAGCTTGTGTTTGAGTGCATTTGGATCTTTCCAATTTTTTTGCTTCTTTGTGATCATCTATAGGAGTTGCTTATTGCGGCTATATGTCTCGTTTGGCAAACCCGGAGGAGCCGTAGATTGAGGAGGAGGACTACGACTACTCTGTAGAGCTAGGAGATGACCTGCCCGCAGGTGCCACGTCCCACTCAACCTCATAGAATCCTATTAGATATGCAATAATGTAGCTGTTAGTGCTTTATTTTATGCAATTGAACTATGATAGGTTGCATGGTAGAATTGCTTGAAGCCTTTACCTCGATGCAACATTTACTCCTGCACACCCGTAGTTAGGATAGATGCTCGCTTTTACTCAGTTAGGATAGATGCTCGCATTTACTTACTACTTCTTCTACTACGCAATATATCTGTGATGTGATGCCTGGTGGAGGATTGCTTGTGAGTGGCTAAGACACATGGTGTCGCTTAAACTGGTAACAACTTGGGGAGATCATGGCGTTCATCTTGCGTGTGTGGTGAGGGTTGAGTCGACTGGATAGGATTCTACGACGAGTCTTGGGATGAGTCTTGCTAAGGGGATGTGACCTGGGCATTCCCTATGAGAGGTGCTTGTGGTGGGTACATGTGAGATGAGGAGGTCCCAAGGTGGAGTGTCTTCATGGGACGAAGCTTCGGGATGGAGGTGCTGTCAAAGCACGAGGTGTTGGTTATCCCCATTTGAGAAGATGTCATGTCTAGTCCTTCTAAGGACTGGTATGCCGAGAGAACCGGGTCATAGAACCTTACATACACACCACTCATCCCTATTTGGGTGAGGGACGAATGTTGACCTGCTAGGGCGGTGCCACTACTGTTGGGTTGTTAGCGGATAGTGTAAGGAGGTACGGGCGTATGGCCCACACCCTCGTGACCTTTGGGGGCCTGGTACTACGTCTCATAGTCTCAGCATGCTGGTGGACTCCGGGGTGGCCCAGGGTTGAGTGGCAAGGTGGTATCACACTAGTTTGGAAGGTAGCCCGATATCAGCCTAGGCGGTGCACGCGCCGATGATGGTGATCTTGTGGATTTCCAAGTGTACACGCTCTGTAGAGTTGATCGATCTATACATATAGCCGCATCCACGGATATGGACATTCCTATGACCTATGCTTCCCTTGATTAGTGAGTGGAGTCCCTTCTCTTCTCCCCCCTGGGTTTTGTTGGTTTTCTGGCTGTTAGCTGTTAAGGCAAGGAACGAGAAGGAGTTGTTCTTGTTGCCTAGAGAGCGAGAGTGTGGTGAGATCTGTGTGATTGGATGGGAAAATGTGTGTGGATAATATGGGTTAAAACTTGATGAATTATTATAAAACTTGATTACACTTGCATAGGAAAAACTCCAGCCTAAAGTAGGTCGTTTGCTTTACCCTTGCATTTCAATACCACAAAACAAACGCAAAGCATAGGGTGGGAGCCAGTGGCCAGTACAAATCGTACTAATAATTGTTTGACAGGTGATGAGCCTAAGTACAACTACCAGGGAGACAATTGGGAGGATTAGAGGTCTTATTCTTCGCTCGAGTTTGGTTCGTGAAGTGGTGTCGTCGTCTGCTGCTGTTCTACTCTGACGTTGTTCCTGATGTTGTGTGCTCTAAGTGATTCCGCCAAGTGGCGATGTAATAATGAATAAACCTTGCTATTTGTACTCTCCATAAGACAGGTATTCGATGTATGACTGTGATATCGATTGTTATTCGATAATATGATGGAATGATCATCTGACTATCACGTTATGTTTCGAATCTGTGGATTTTCCTTTGTGGAAATCGGGATCATTTCATCACCAATGGGCAAGGGACGTCACCGGCGCTCCGACCGCTGCTGTCCTCTGTGAATACGTCCACCTTTGGGGACATGGTCGAGACATTCCAGCTGTCGGCGCATTCCTCAGACCGCTTCATCAGGAAGTGGACGGCGAACGGTCGCTTGTGGACGGCCGAGCGCCGGAAACACCATGGCCTTCATCCCGAGGCCAACTGTGCACTCTGCGATCAACACGACGAGACCACCTATCATCTACTGGCGTCTTGCTCCTTCACGCGCGAGGTCTGGGTCCGGCTGCTCGCGAGCACGGGCTGCAGCAGCTTGGGCCGCGCCACGACTCCGCCCTGGCCGATTGGTGGCTGCTAACTCGGGTTGCCATCCCCCAAGCATTTAGACGCGGCTTTGACTCCCTCGACCTGCTCGTCTCCTGGGTCATTTGGAAACAACGCAACAGGCGGACCTTCGACCACAACGCTAGAACGACGATGCAGGTCCTTGCCCTTATCCAAGAGGAAGCAAACTCCTGCCTTGCCGCCGGGTTCCGAAGCTTGTCGTCGCTGCTCGCTGCAGCGAACTAGATAGCGCCGTTAACTTCTCTGGTCGCGCAATTAGTTATTCACTTAGCACAACTGGTTAGCTCCACCATTGAAGCCGATAATTGCTATTAGTGTTCCACCGGTTTGCTTGCAGCGGCGCCTCGCCGTCGAAAGCCACAGGCTATGTAACTTTTCCCACTTCCCTTAATGAAGCATGTGCTAATGCATGCTTTCGAAAAAAAGTACGACAGGAGATTTGATGCCTTTGTAATGGTGTAATATTGAGAAGAATGCGAGAAGGATTCTAATCAACTGTTATATAGCAATTTTAATAAAAAATATATGCTCATTTTGTGATACACAGTGACGTGGTTTTTTTTCCCGATACCCAGTTACAATGACATGGTCGATGTTGGTGCATTTTACTATAGATGAGATCAAAGTTAGAGCAATTTGACTTAGTACAAAATTAATGTGACTTAGAGCATCTCCAAGAGTTTGATATAGTTTATATGTTAAACTAATAGATCTAACAAGTTAACAGAAGCAATGGCAATCTCAAATTTTGTCATTTTCCAACAGTATCTTAAACGTTTTTGCATTGGTAACTTCAAACTATTTCTAACTAACCTGTCCTTTTTAATAGTTTTTTTTTTGTCTCTTACCACTTTCTCATCTAGAATCTTTTATTTCCTTAATTTACGCATGTGTCCAATTTACTCTGATCTCCTGAGAAAAACGCCAAAGGGGGAGCGGATACGGAGTTCCTCTGGACTGCAAAAACTTACGAGTTGGAGAGGATATTTAGCAACATTTTACTCTTAAGGATCTCTTTGACCAAAATGTTATAGGACACTTCATTCCATTTTCGCTAAAATATCAAAATAGGGAGTTGGTTTATAAAGCTGGATGATTTGGAAGGAGGGGAATGAGAGGACACTTGGTGGGCCATCCACACCTCCTGCTCAGCTGCTGGTAAAGATTGTTGAAGACGCCAAAGAGTGGTCCAGGGCGGGTTACAGTCATATTCGGACGCTACTACAGTTGTTGTAATGGGCTGCGCTACGTAGCTAGTCGCTAACAGTTTTGTATAATATCTCTAATTTGTTGTCAAGCTGGGGTTCAGTTTGGTAATCATGTGATTACTAATCTGAACTTGTAATGTGAACTAGGCTGTTTCTGCCTCCTCTTAATGAAAAACGTGTCTCGGCACAGTCATGGAAAAAAAGAGTTGGTTTATAAAACTCCTGGAGATGCTCTTGTAATCTGGAACATTTTATTTATGTACTAATGCACGAGAGTGATGAAACTGTTAGGTTGTGAACTTGACGAACTCTTATGTAAACTTGAATTATTTACACAATGTATGTGATGGTGCACGATATGCAAAAGTGTGTGATAGTGAGATCCACTCGTGAAGTCGTGCTAGTGGGTTATGTATTGATATCGGCATTGCTTTTTGTTTGAGAGAGAGAGATTTTTTTTTTTGAGAGATGATATTGGCATTGCTTTTTTTTTTTGAGTGGATGATATTGGCATTGCTTTTTTTTTTTTTGAGCACTTCGTTCTTCGGTCGTTGGTCTCAGTCTCCATCGTGGTCTTGCCGGCCATTATTGCACCGCTAGTCCTAATGCCGTGTTACCCGTGCACGATGTGTGCTCCAAATTCCACAACGACCGCGAGTCCGTGGTCGTCGTCAACCACGTTGTACTTGTTACTTAATCATACAAGTGGCCTCCGAGCTGAAAACTAACAACAAAAGATCCCCCAATACCACTAGCTTCCAAGGCTCAAACCCAGAGCTAGCCATGGCAGAGCACGCACGAGGCCCCCAAATCCTTCTCATCTACATCTGCCTCTGCCTCCTGCTACTATCCTCCTCAGTGCACCTGGCGATGAGCAGGGACCTTGATGACTACGGTGACTTTGATGCGAGCTTCGCCGACGACAGCTTCTCTGATGAGGTGGCACCGGCAGACGACTACGACAACGTCGACGAGAGCTTCGTCGATGATAGCTTCTCTGAAGAGGCGGCACCGGCACGGCGCCTGTACGACAACAGCTTCAACGTGCTCAACAGCTCCTCCTCCTCCAACAGGTCCGGCGCGGCCTTCTGCAGGCTGCTGTCCCTGCAGATACTGGACCTGTCCAACAACCAGCTCACCGGAGAGCTGCCGGACTGCTGGTGGGAGATGCAGGCTCTGCAGTTTATGGACCTATCAAACAACTCTTTCTCGGGTAAGATCCCTGAAGCCCCACCGACCCACAACTGTTCTCTAGAATCGCTCCATCTTGCCGGCAATAGCTTCACTGGAGAATTTCCAACTGTCGTTCGGGGATGCCAGCAGCTGGCCACTGTAGATATTGGGAATAACAGGTTCCATGGTGATATTCCTCGCTGGATTGGAAGCGATGCTCCAGCACTGAAAATCCTTAGACTTAGTTCGAACAACTTCACTGGTCAAATTCCTCTGGAGTTATCACATCTTTCACAACTTCAGTTGCTAGACTTGGGCCACAATGGATTGACAGGATTGATCCCAATAGAGTTGGGAAACTTAGAGTCCATGAAGCATCCGAAAATTAATTCCAGTATAGGATCGCTAGATGGGTCCACCTATCAGGATAGAATTGACATCAACTGGAAGGGACAAGAGCTGATATTCCAAAGAATACTTGAGCTGATGACGGGCATCGATTTGTCAGGCAATTCACTGTCTCATTGCATCCCTGAAGAGTTAACCAATCTCCAAGGCCTCCGATTTCTGAACCTGTCAAGAAACAATATGTCATGTACCATTCCTCAAAACATTGGTAGCCTCAAATATCTTGAGTCCCTTGATCTTTCCTGGAATGAACTTTCAGGACCCATTCCTCCAGGCATGAGTAGTTTGCAGTCCCTTAACACATTGAATCTCTCAAACAACCATTTGTCAGGCAAGATACCTACCGGGAATCAACTTCAGACACTCATAGACCCATCGATTTACGGCAACAATCCTGACCTCTGTGGACCTCCTTTGAACATTTCTTGCCAAGATCCGTTACGTGCATTTGATGTGGGAAATGGCAGAGAATGCCAGGACCCATGGCTGTACTACTGTGTGATCGCTGGAATTGTTTTTGGATTCTGGCTGTGGTATGGGATGCTCTTTTCCATTGTGAAGTTGAGGTATTCTGTTTTCTTGTTTGTTGATCGCATGCAATACAAAATTATGCAAAAGGTGCGGCCTATCAATCATTTTCTTTCGAAAGAAAAGAGTGATCCATCTTCTGTACCTATGTTTTCTACAAGTGATACGAGCTGAAGAATGGAGTAATGATATCTTCTCTACTATACTTAGCGATCCAATCTTCTCTTTTTTTCTCCACTAGTACAGCAGGAGATTTGCTGCCTTTCTTTGTATGCTTTAAGACGTAATGCTGGGAGGAGGCCAGAAGGATTATAGTCAACTGTTATATTGCAGTTTCAGTAAAAAACATTATATGTTTAAGGAGATTTGCTGTCTTTCTTTGTATGCCTTTCCGATATGATATGTTTAAGAAGTTTTTACTTTTTTGTACATGATTCATTTCTACTACTGTTATGAAAAGAATATGTATATGAAATTATTTTCAAGAAAGAACTGGCATAGATATACCCGTCATCCATTCAGGGAAAACTTATGCTGGGAGCTGACTTCCATCGTCAAAAAGATTGAGAGAGAACTAAGAACTTATCATGCACAGCCAGAAAAGGGTAAGGAAAATAAAGTGACAATAGTTTCTCTTAGCTTGCTGCCTTCTGGTATCTATATTCAGTTGCATATTTAGCCCTTCCCATCAAATGGAGCAATAAATAGTAAGTATGGCAATAAAGTAAAACACCTAAGTTGACTACAGACTAATTCTTGCAATTGGCGACTTCCATAATAATTTCAGAGTCTATCGACCAGTTCTACCAATAAACTTTCCTAGTTCTTGTCTTTGGTACTACAACTTGAAAACTTAAGGCTCTAGAACTGCTGGAGTTTCTGCACAGGTACATGCTGCTTCCGGTAGTGTTAGATAATCTCCTGCTTCCTTATGTGAACACACAGCAAGGGAAGGCGGCGCCGAAAAGGCTTCCTGCTATGGTACTGTAGCCGCTGCAGGGGTAGACGCCGAATAGCTCACCTGCCTCACTGTAGCCACAGCAGGGACAGGGGCAGAAGTCAGTCCTGTTGTGTTATCTAGTCACTGTTACAGCACGACAGGTGTACTAGGACTAGATGGATATGGTTGTATATATAGTTTGCCACTGCAACTCAACAAAGAGAGTTTAGATTTGCCATCTGCTATATAGGGTTCCGGTCAACGCTGGTGCTTGTACTGTGTATGTATGCTCTGTTCTCCCTTCTTTCTTCTACCTCTGACCATAGTGTGTGGTCGGACAACGTCTGTCGTGCTCGGCCGTGGTCGGCAAGACTGGTGAGTGGTCGACTCACCTGAGCCGGTGATCCAGTGGGCTAACAAGTGGTATCGGAGCCGTACAAACGCCGTCGCCGGTCTAACCGCTGGCGATGACGGACGGTTCGGAGATGGGCGACAGCAGTGGCACTGCTATGGCTGTCCAACCATGACCGGAGGTCGTTGTTCGCATGGTGCGGGAGGTCAGCGGCACCAGTTGGCCGACGCTGACTCGCACCAACTATGGAGAGTGGTCGATGACCATGAAAGTCAAGCTCAGAGCCCGACGGCTCTGCAATGTTGTTGACAAAGGTACCGACAATGAGGAAGATGACATGTCAGCGTTGGATGCTATCATCGCTGCTGTACCGGCGGAGTACAGGGAGCCGTTGGGGACGAAGAGCTCTGCTAAGGAGGCGTGGGAGGCTATTGCGGCGATGCGCGTCGGTTCCAACCGCATAAAGAAGTGTCGTTTGGAGTTGAAGAGACACTTAGAGTAGTTTAGAACTTTGTTTTTCCTTTGGCCATACTATTAAGGGGGGATGGACGGGTAGCTTGACCTAGCTGAATCTAGTGGGATAGGTGTGGTGCACATTTGTCAAATCTAGCACTAGGTAGCTCCTAAAAATCCCTTAGATCAATTAGAGCAAACTTCATTCACAAATGATTGAGAGATGGAAGTGAATGGAGGATCAAATGCTGACCGAACGCTGGTTCCGATGTGATCGGACGTTGGCGCATAGTCCGGTCAGTTCATTTGATCAAGGTGAAATCGTCTGGTGCGACCGAACGCTGAGAGGTGAGCGACCGGACGCTGGGTGCCAGCGTCCGGTCGACTCTAGTAAGGTTCCAGAGAGAGAAAATCATGACCGGACGCTGTCCAGCGTCCGGTCACAACTTAAACACTAGGTTTTGGGAGAACTGATCGGAGCGTCCGGTCAACATGACCGGAGTGTCCGGTCATCCCACATAGGCACATAACGGTTTATTTTGAACACGGGTGTATAAATACTTCCTCTATTCGTGTGAGGGGGTACTTTTGCTCATTCCAACAGCTGAGAAACACTCTTGAGAGTGCCAAGAAGAGCAAGGTCCTAGTAAGGTGATTGAGATTTGAGAATCCAAAAGAGAGCCCTCATTAGTGAAAGCAAAAGTAGCAAAATGTGCATCCACCCTTCTCATTAGGCTTGTCGTGGTTAAGTGAGACTTCGTGCTTGTTACTCTTGGTGATCGCCATCACCTAGACGGCTTGGTGGTGATTGGGAGCTTGGTGATCATCCGGCGAAGCTTGTGGATGACCCAACTCAAGTTATGAGCGGTTGTGGGTGATTCACCGTGACGGAGTGTCAAAGAATCAACCCGTAGAGAGCACTTGATCCTTGCGCGGATCAAGGGGGAGCTACACCCTTGCGCGAGTGCTCCAACGAGGACTAGTGGGGAGTGACGACTCTCTGATACCTCGGTAAAACATCGCCGTGTTCCTCCTTCTCTCTTTACTTTGAGCATTTACTTTGAGCAATTCAATTCTTGTCTTTACATTCATAAAATTGTCATGCTAAAGTAGGATTGGAACTTAGGTTGCAAGACTTTTTGTGCGGTAGAACATTAGAAACACTTTCTAGGCACAAGGGGTGAAGTTGGGCTAACCGTAGGGTTTAATTATTGCAAAGAAATTTAGAATTAGCCCAATTCACCCCATCTTAGGCATCTTGATCCTTTCAATTGGTATCGAAGCCTCGTGCTCACATATTTAGGCTTAACCGCCTAGAGAAAGATATCTCACGAGGATGGACCTCCTCCTATCTTTGAGGGGGATGATTTTCCTTATTGGAAAATCCGCATGGAGGTGTATTTAGAAGCTCTAGATGTTAGTATACTTAGAGCCGCCTCATAAGGATTCCCAAAACCTCAGGATCCCACACACCTACAAGGCGATGAGGTAAATTACGAAAAATAGAATGCAAAGGCTAGAAACACCATCTTTAGAGGCCTTTGCAAAGATGTGTTTAATTGGGTGAGGAACCACAAAGACGCCCATGCACTATGGTCGGATATTTGTGCGCTCCATGAGGGAACAAAGAGCGAGCGTGAGGAACGCTATCATCTTGTCATGAAAAAGCGAAATTCATTTGAGATGCTTCCTAAAGAGAGTGCTAATGAAATGTACTCATGCTTGAATGTTCTTGTAGAGGAAGTCAATGGGCTTGGACTTACTCAAATGCAACCATCTGACATTGTAAGAAAAATCTTGAGTGTCCTCCCCATTGACAAATATGGGCATATTGTGACCGTGCTTCATCAAGGTGATCTTTCCACCGCTACACCAACAAAAATCTTGGGAAAGATCAATGCTCATGAGATGTACATGCACATCACACCACAAGATGGCTCATCCTCTACTAAGAAGAAAGACAAGGACTTAGCATTCAAAGCTAGCCAAGAGAAGGGCAAAGCAAGGCTTGAGTATGAGAGCTCAAGTGATGATGAAATTGATGATGCAAGTCTTGCTCTCATGGTGAGAAGAACCACCAAGATGCTAAAGAAGCTTAACAAGAGTGGCATCAAGTTTGATGGCAAGAAAAAGAAGTTCTTCACTAGCACAAGAAGGAAGCCAATCTCGGAGATGGATTGCTACAATTGTGGAGAACTTGGTCATCTAGCACATCAATGCACTAAGCCCAAAAAAGACAAGTATAAGAACAAGTACAAGGACAAGAAAGATGACTCAAGCAATGAAGATGAAGATGAGAAGAAGAAGAATAAGCCATACAAGAAGAAAGATGACAAGAAGGACTTCCACAAGAAAAAGAAGAATGGGAAGGCATACATCGTCGGTGATTGGCTCACGGACATTGATTCATCAAGTTGCTCATCCGATGATGATAATGATAATGAGAAGGTGTCCGCCATTGTGATTGACTCTTCATCATCTTCACCGACACCACCTCCATCATCCTCTACACACCTATGCCTTATGGCCAAAGGTGAACGCAAGGTATCAAATGATGATGATAGTAGTGGTGATGATCATGCTAATAATGATGATAGTGATAGTGATAGTGATGATGATGAATATGAAACATATTCATATGATGATCTTGTTAAATTGCTAAATCAATATACTAAGATCATTAGAAAGACTAGAGCTAAGAATGACAAGCTAGAAGCTAAGAATGATTGTCTTTTAGCTAAATGTGATATAGTCTAAAAGGCTAGTGTTGAGCTTAGAGAAGCAAATGATGCTATGTCATCCAAACTCAAGGAGCTCAAATCTTCTAAGAAAGAGCTTAAAGATAAACATGATAAACTTGAGAGGATACACAATGAGCTCATCACTAGCCATAATATGCTAAAAATGAATATATCAATCTTAAGATTAATCATGATAATCTTGTCATTGCTCAAGAATTTTTATCCAATGAGCCACATGATGCTACTAACAATGTTGTTAAGATTGATATAGCTACATCATGTGATGATTTGATCATTGAGAGCATTGAGCAAAGTTCTTGTAGCAAGGGCAAGCAAGTGGTTGAGATCAATAATTATGATGAATATGTCAAGCTCAAGAATGATAATGAAAAGCTCAAGAATGATCTTGAAGAGCTCAAAACCACCAACACTATAGTGCTAGAAACTCTTGATCATGATAGTGATTTGATTCTTGAGAATGAGAAGCTCAAAGAAGAGAACAAGAAGCTCAAGGAAGAGAAAAATAATGATGCACTCAAGGAAGAGAACAAGAAGCTCAAGTTGGAGAAAGAGCATCTCAAGATTGGATTGAGCAAGTTCACAAGAGGCAAGCATCTTCAAAGTGAGCTATTAATGAACACCGTCATAAAGATGAATAGAAGTAGCATTGGGTACATGGCAAATAAAG